CGGACCAGGCAGAGTCTGGAGGGACAGTGGATCTCCTGTTTGCGTCCTGTTCAAGGCCTGTCGCTGGAACAAGCTGCCTGGGCTTGGGCGGGGGGTGGGGTGGAGAGACTGGGGGGAGGGGAGGGTTGCTGTCACTATGGACAATGACCTACAGAACTGACAACCCTTCGGCCTGCATCACCACGTAATCAAAGTCGTCTGCATTATCTACCGCAATTACATCATCTACAATATTCTACCACAGCCACCATTTATTGGGCGCATTTTATATGCCAAACAACGTGATAATTTCCTTATGTATACTGTCTCATTTACTACTCTCATCCCGGCCAGTTGCATTCATTCACACAAAGCACAGTGAAAGAGTTGTTATTCTCGTTTTACAGACAAGTACATTTTGAGGCTGCCGTAGGTTGAGTGACTTGCTCAATCTCATAAGAGAACTCCAGCCAGATTATTGTGATTCCTAATCTTCTGCTTTTATCCAGAAAGCTATACTTCCATCTGTGCTGAGCAACTTGACATTTGCCAGTGGCCTGGTCTGAGGAGGGGAGGGCGTGCCCTGATGGGCAGCAGTAGAGGGCTGGGGAGTAGAGACTGGGAATGCGGAAGGTGTGGGTTGAGATGGGAATTATGCCGTCAGATGAACTTATTTTCTTCTAGTTCTATGTTTCGTAGACCCAATGGTACCATTGTGCACAAACACTACTGGGATTTCCTGTGGGATTTAGAGATGTGAAGGACAGTTGCCCCTCCTGACCTGGGGGGCCAGATGGAGCCCTCTTATTCTTTTGGAGGCTAGCACTGGGCTTGCTGATTGACTGACAATGGCAAGGGAAGCATACGAACACCTGCAATGCCGTGTTGATGGTAGGCTAAAATGGTCTGGCCATGTTGGAACTCTGGGGTTATCAAGTGGCGAACAGTCTGTTTTCATTTTGGCGCTGTTGTGCCCATGCTTGGAACCCCTCCTGATCCTGGGAATGAGTAATGAAGAAATGTAGAAATTCACTGCCATTGATTGGCACCACTCTACCCAACAGAGTGTCATTTTAATCCTAGGCGCCCTTTCATTTCCAGAGTTTTGCACAAGCTGTTCCCTCAAGCCTGGGTCACACTCCCCACCCCACCTCCTTTCTAATTCCAGTTTGCCCGATGTCACTGCTCGGTATAAATGTCACCCTCTTGCTGTCTGGTCCCAGCCTGCATAGTGCCCCCATCTGGTTCTCTGCTTCTTATTACTGGTCTTAGCACAGAGTTCTAGAATTTCCTACTTGTGTTACTTGTATGTCTGTCCATTAGACTAGAAACTCCTAGAGGACAGGCACCATGCCTTATTTACAGTTTTATTTCCAGGGTCTAGCTCAGTGCTTAATGGAGTAAAGGTTGAACAGGGATAGAGTTTCAGGTTGGCAGGAACCTAAAGGTTTATCCTAGTCCTGATCCTGTTCTTCTTTTTGAGTCGCCTCTCCAAATGCTTGCTGAACAAATAGCTGCCACCTCTTGTCACTTTTGAGGCTTTCTGTTCCCCCTCTCCTATCCCTTTTCTTTCCACAAGGTTGATGGTCTTCTAGGAATGGAACGGAGAGTTTAAGAAGATGGTTATTCCCTGTAGCCTCAAAGATGGGTACTCATCCTTTTCTCTTCTGCACTCCCATGATGCTTTCTCCGTAGACTGTTATCTCCATGAGGGCAAGGACTGTGGTTATCTTGCTCATCAGTGTGTTCCCAGAACCTAGTTCGGTACCTGACATGTAGTAGGTTCGCAATAAATGCTGAATACCATTTATCCCTATCTTATTAGGCTATCATGGGAGGCAGTGTTGTATAGTGGTTAGGCCTTAGGTCTTGCACATTTGGAATGGCTGTGTTCAAATTCTGGTTCTACTTTGACTCTGGGTGACTTTGGTAAGATAGTTAATTTCTCTCTTCCCCTCTTTCTTAACCTATACAATAAGGATGATAATAGTAGCTAAGATATAGTATCTATGAAGGCGTCAGCTAGGATTATTCTGAACAGCAGAATTTGCTTTTGTCTTCCTTGCAACACCTCACCCTTGGTCTTACACATAATGTGTGCTGTAGTAGTTACGGAGTGAATGAAAGATTTTACTCATTTCTAAGCAACACTCAAAATTATATTAATAATGAAAAATAAACAGAAGTAATCATCAATCCCCCAAAACAAATAAATTATTTTTATCTTTATATTGCCTGCTAGACTTTGTCCAAAATACCTTTTTATAGCTTTATTCAAAGCACAGGTGCAGTATTGCATGCATGTTGAAATATATTTTTTATTGATTTCAGAGAGTAAGGGCGAGGGAGAGAGAGATAGAAACATCAATGATGAGAGAGAATCATTGATTGGCTGCTTCCCGCACACCCCACACTTGGGATTGAGCCCGCAACCCAGGCAGTTTTAAACAAAATATTGCACATGTTCTATTTTGCTGAGTCATTGTTTTGAATAACGATATAATTCATCAAGTTGATAAAGATGAATTATTTTATTGAATGATTACCTATTGCCTGGGTATATTAGCAGTGTAACATTCAAGAAGCAGGAATTAAGTCTGGCACTGGATAGAATACAGGAGTGCAACGTCAACTTTTGGACTTTAAACTTTAAAAGAGACATGGAGAAATTGGAGAGACCAAAGGAGCGTGTAAATTCCCAAGGATTGTAATCATATGCTATTATATCTTTGAGAAAAATGAGAATTGAGACTTGACTCCATAGCTATATACCTCGCTATTTACAAACATCTCTGAAGAGCAGTTGCATGAGGATGCCAAACAGTCGCTCCTTGTTTCCACCAAGGGTAGAACAAAGAATCTAGTCTATGTTGGGAAGAGTAAGAGATTTAAGGAGGGACTTTGTGTAAAGTGGTTTAGGAATGAGAGAACTTAGCAGGGTAGTGGAAGTTTCTTTCCTTGCTGAAAATGTTGAAAACGACAGAGATCAGTTCTGTTTGTCTTTTTGTTACAGGCCTGCTTAGAAACTGGATGAAGCAACTTTTGCATTGCCTTGGCACTACGTTTTGGGTAAATATTTGATGATTGGTTGAAAGGTAACTAGGGGCGGGGAATGTCCCTAGCGAGTCCCAGTTACCCGCGCCCTCTAGTGGTGGGCCTGGGAAAAAGCGGCGGCTCAGTCCTAGGCTGCACCCTTCTCCCGTTAGTTAAGCTGTACACCCAGCAGGGTTGCGGCAGCGGCTTCCCATTTCCAAGACTTAAAGCGGAGAAACGAGAACACGGACCTAAAAGCCAGACTCCTTGGGTTCCATTTCCAGCTCTGTCTTTAACTAGCAAATTATGTACTTGAGCAGGTTACATAGCCTCTCCGTGTCTCAGTTTCCTCATTTGTAAAATGAGGATGATGATGATGATGATGATACAAGGGCAGCATGGCGTTGGGGCAAGATAAATAGGCAAAAATCTCAGAATTGAGAATCCCGAAACAGATCCTCACATATGTGGTATTTTATTCATGACAAAAATGTCTGCGTAAAGGAGTGGGGTACCGGTGGTTTTTCCCATAATGGTATACCGATGTAAAAACTTTAAACTTGACCTCTATTCAGAACATACAAACCAATTCCAGGTAAATGGAATTGACGTGAAGGTAAACCAGCAAAGCTTTGAGAAGATTATACATAGAGGAAGACATCCTTATGACCTTGGAATAGACAAAAAAAATCTTAAATAAGACATGGAAAGGAAAAGATGGATACATTAAACTACATTAAAATTATAAACTTCTGTTTATCAAAAACATTATTTGAAAAGGCAAACCATGGAATAGAAGAAGAGAGTTGTCACACATAATTCTTAAAGATCTCAAATCCAGAATATTTAAAGAACCTTTACAAGCAAAAAGATAAGGAAGACAGGCAACCCAATATGAGACTTGTTGAAGGCCACAGACTTGAACAGACACTCTCCTCCCTCACCAAGGATATGTAAGTGGCCGATGCATTTGTCAAACATCCAGGGAGGAGGCAGCTTTGGCTCGGGTTGCACGCTGATAACCTTGAGACATGGGCAAGTGAGTACTTTTCTGATCTTTGCCACCGCGGACTAAGAGTGTACAGGGTGTTCCTTCCAGACCAGGTGTGGCCGGCCACAGGACTGTGGGCCCAGTGGCTGGTGGGAGGAGGGATGGGGTGGGTGCCTATGCCCAGATCCCTGGGGATGCTATCGCTTAGGAAAGCTGCATTCAGTTCTCCCCGGGGAGCAAGTTCCTAATCTCGACTGTTCCAATGAAAGCAAAGGCATGAAAGCAAAATCTGGGGAAGCATGTAACCTTTCTATACCATTTGACTTTTTAAAAATACACACTGTTCCTTTTATGATTGGTCAATTAACACATTTCTCCAAAAGATGTTAGGTTAACAAACTAACTTTTCAAAAAATGCCAAGGACGCCCTAGCCCAGCGGTTCTTAACCTGTGAGTCGCGACCCCTTTGGGGATCAAACGACCCTTTCATAGGGTCGTTGCCTAAGACCATCGGAAAACACATATGTAATTACATATTGTTTACAGTAGCAAAATTACAGTTATGAAGTAGCAACGAAAATAATTTTATGGTTGGGGGTCACCACCACATGAGGAACTGTATTAAATGTTCGCGGCATTAGGAAGGTTGAGACCCACTGCCCTAGCCGGTTTGGCTCAGTGGATAGAGCATCGGGCCCACGGACTGAAGGGTCCAGGGTTCGAGTCCCAGTCAAGGGGT